AGTAGGTGTGCTGTATGGTACGGGGTGCGGTACGGTACGCGTTGTTGCGGTACGATACGTTGGGCTAACCAAGCCTTACCAAGGGTTGCTATGGTTACCAAAGCTTACCAAGCCATAAATAATTTTATTAATATTGTTACTCTAAATAACTCTAATTTTTGTAGTTTATTTGTAACATTTGTTATGCATGTCATTCGCCCCGTTATATGAAGCGCTATCAATATTATATGAATAAATAAATTAAACTGTTAAATATATCGTGAATCCTATAGAAAATTATTGAAGTATACTTATTGTTCTTTATCTGTAAATATTAAATTACAAATCTGATTTTATAAATTGTTTTTTTAAAGAATACATCTGACGTAATAAATGGAACTAATTCGTGTAAAAAACATTCAAAATTCTCAAAATAACAATATTGAAAGTATTCCAACAATTGTATTAAAAATTTAAAATCTTTTGATGCATTTCCCGAATAGTGGTTAACGTATAGCATCGCTGTGTGATATTTGTTTAAAGAATACATCTATAATCACTTTAGAAATTTTACATTGAAACCATCTCTATATTTTTTATAATTTGACCAATAACAGTAATTCAAAATGTACTACTATCTCTTTAGTTATTCACTGATTCATGATATATTATCATTTAATTTACAATCTATCATATTATCAAAAAGTAAATCATGTATTTTTGATTTTATAAAATGAGAACTTCAATATCATATAACATTTACACATTAAGGGCCCAAATATGATTGCATAAATACAGATTATTACAGATTTACTCCTTATTTTTTAAAACAAATTTGAATGTTTTATTTTAAGAAAATTATGTTTATACAATTTTAAAATAAAATTTATTATACTAATTGAAATAATCAGTTTTAGTTATAAACCCAAAGAAAACTCAATATTTTTAATATTTTAATTTAAGATATTTTGTCTTTGGAATGTTTATGTTATTAAGTAAACCACGTGACCTATGTTTATAATAAGGGATGCTGCAGATGCGCAGTATATGAGGCTCTTAAATTTATTTTACAGAATTATATTAATTTATTTAGTTAAAAAATGGCATCAATTATCGCACGGCGGGAATAACTTGACCGCCCTATTATAATAAGGGATGCTGCAGATGCGCAGTATATGAGGCTCTTAAATTTATTTTACAGAATTATATTAATTTATTTAGTTAAAAAATGGCATCAATTATCGCACGGCGGGAATAACTTGACCGCCCTATTAACTTCAAACATGGTTGCATTTATAGGCGGAATTTAAGACCGTCGTAGGCGCTCCCTGTATATAATAATAGCACGCATTAATAATTGATACATTGATTTATAAACTAATAGAAAGCACATACTTGTCATTATAAACAAAAAATATGAGTTTTAAATGCATTTTATAAAATAAAAATAATTTGTCTGAAATCAAATTAAGAATGAACATAATTAATTATCTCTTGCATGCATTCAACAATAGCTTAATTTTAAACATTAAAGTTATTTTCAAAGCAATGAATCCAACATTACTTCTATAGTTATGTTTTTTAGTGATTAATGCATTCAAAACGCTTTTTTAACCACAATTCAGTATGAATAATGTGGTTTATAGGATCGTTCGGCTAATCCTTTCAGATAATCCAGATGGTTAATGGTTAAGGTTTGGTCTAGGTTTATGGTTAATCAGATAATGCTTATGCTGGTAAATGGTTTAAATGAAAAATTAAATACCAAAGTGATGAAGTACTTGATCAAACGACCACCGGAAAATGTTTTGGAGCTTAAATGCTTAATTAAATTCATTAACGATATGGAAACTTATAAAGGCAAACAGAAGGACAAAGAGAAATATGTTGAAACGCTAGCAGTATATAGCAGGGAAGACATTTCGCTGCCATTCAACAGATTTAGCTACAATATTCGAAACTTGAGGAATGAAATTAAAGAACTCAAGTTGGAAATGGCATCTATGGTGGTGAACAAGTCAACTGATCAAAAGATTGATCACGAGAGACTTGACCAAGAGGACTACATCGATTTAAAAGACGATGATGGACAAGAGTACATTGAGTGTTTCAATTGCGGGGAAATTGGACACTATGCGAGGGAGTGCCGACACGAATCGGCAAATGAGTAATTAAAAGATATAGATTACCCTCTATTTGTATGAGTAATAGAGTGGAAAATTGTAACCCGGGTTTAAGAAAAATACTTTGTATTAATGAAATTTAGTTTATCCTTATTATATTATGATTAATACTATTTAGTTTTATGTGATAGGCGCCAAAATATAAGCATAATTTATAAATACGTATTAAATAGTTAATAAGATGACAGTTAATCCCTAGGAAGAACGATTAGGTAATCGTTAGTTATTTCAGAAAATGATAGAAATTACAAAAAAATAATTATCTACACTAACATCTCATTCACAGGAGTGAATGGGTCTGGGGGCGGGGAAGTGAGAGAGATATATAATATTTTTAATTGAATAATTTTATGCATGCAATTTATTGCAATATGTTCCTTGTTTGAGTTTAATTATAAATTTATAAATTATGTGCTATTTTTCAAATGAAATGTGGTTTTTGTTTTTATATGATTTCTATGTGATTTCGTATAGCTATTTACGTAATATTTTTATATTCACAACTTATGTTTTGGTTTTTAATGTTTTCACTACATTTTATAATATATAAACACTAACGTATAGATATAATTTTGTCATTGATTTTGTGGTATAATGTTTTGTCATTGAATGTTTGTTAATGTCTATGTTATGTGCAATCTATGTAATTCCTCCTATATTTAACAATAAATGTTTTATAACACTGTTCTATAAATGTTTGATAAATAATAAGCAATTTTATTCTAATAGTGAATACTAAAGTTATATGGTAATTTAGTTATCAAAAAGTTAGTCAAAAACTTTGTCCACCAATTAAGAGGCATAACAGCGCGTGCACTGCACATACGTGGCCGCCTGGACCTGATAGACATACCATTGGTGTGACAGCGCGTTCACTGCACATTCGTGGCCGCCTGGATCTGATCGACATACTATTGGCGTAACAGCTTATGCACAGCATATTTGTACCGAGCGAAAGCTACCCATAGGTTAACACACGGAAACAAGCCTAACAACATGAATCATTGACCCGTACAACAGATACTACGTGTGAGTACACTGTTGTCCGTTAATAGACCCATACATTTACACACAGTTAAGGGGAGTCAAGACTAGTGTTTCCCGTCGGAACTGGTCGTTCCCCTAACAATATTACATACCTGAAATATTATTTAAATAGTCTGGTAAATAAATTTAATTAGAAATACTAAGCAAACTGGTATATTTGGTTTTATTTTAAAATTATTTACTCTTAAATGAAAACTAATTTTTTTTTAAATCTATACTGAATTTATTCTAATTTTTGATTGCATTGAATCTTAATAAAAATTTTACTTATAATGTCATTAACAATGTCATGCATTCTTAACATGAATTATTATAATTAGTCACGATTCATAATAATAATTAATATTTTAATTCCGGGTATAGAATGGCAGTTAAGAAATTGGGGAACTGTATAGGGTTAGACTGACCAGATGACTTTTGCTCATTTCTGGATCTATTTGTGATTAAATCTGAAACAAATTTTGGACTTATTTTTAAATAATAATTTTATTTTGTAAATGTCTTTATAACAATTTTAATTTATTTATGCATAATTTTGTTTTATTGTTTCATTATGTTATATTTAAATTATTAATTTAACAATTGCCTAATATTTTGTTTTGCATGCCTACTAATACTGTTACAATAAAATCTAAAGCTATATCATTAAAATTATTGATCAGTGTATAAGTAATAGAATTATTGTGTAATTTTTGACTTCAATATAATTCATATACAATATAATTAATCAATTATTTAATATATAATTATGATTATTTCCGTAAACATTTAATTCTGTTTTATACAATATTTGTTAAATATTTTAACCAATTTGAATTTAATTCGGGCGGAAAGATAGCCAATCGATCTTATAAAACATCCATGTATGTAAAGTTACAATAATTTCCAAATTTGCTTATAGTTAATTAATGAATTTTTAACTCTAATAAAAATACAAGATTAATTAAAGTGCATTGCATTTATCATTTTATATAACAGATATTGTAATATCAAACATATAGTGTCACAAATTGTAATATAAATTGTCACATTTTGATAAGTATGTGTAGTATAGATTAAGACTTAAATAGAGGCCAAATTAATTGAATAGATTACATTTGGCTATTATTAAAATGCAATATATTCTGGGAATGTTTTTATAGTATTGTGTAAATGTGTAAAGTGTTTAGGTACATTATTTCAATTATAATAATTGAAATGATATTTAAAATCTATTGAATTTATTTTGAAAATAAAAATAATTGTTGATTTAAGCAAAAATAATATTTAATTTAATTTATAATAAATTTGAAATATGGAAATGTGTAACGTCAATATGTCATATAATTAACACCACTTTTTATTGCCAGTGTATAGGGTGAGGATTCTTTAATTTAATAACTGTTATTTTGAATTAAATCATTTTTCAAAATCTAAATGGTATCGCCAATACTTTCAAAACTTGCCGTTAGAGTTGATGCCAGAGTGCGGTCCGTCTGATACGCCGAGAGGTTGGGTTCGACCGGCTTTTATTTGCCCACATATTATGATTTGACACAAACCGACATCAAATACATCTGTGATGTCATCAGATAATACTTCAGCGGTAAAATTGATCATTTGTCGGCTCCTGTCCTTCAAAGAAGGGATGAATTGGTGTTAAAAAGCGCCACTTTTAGTGTCGAAGCATTGAGTATAACGCGAGCCGGACTAGTGAAGCAAAAGTATAGTCGCGGACATCCCTTCATAGATGCCATTGGTTTAAATTTTATGAAGAGTGGGATTTGTTTCAGCGATTCATTGAATCGGTCAATGAATGCGTTAAAAGTATTAAAACTCTGGTTTAAATCCGAAAATTGTTGAAAACTTTTTCAAATTATAGGTTCAATACTTCACATCTCAGTCGGAATTTTGAGGCACAATTGCAGAGAGCGTGGACTGCAGAAGACTTGATAGCACCCAATTATTTAGTGGCTAAACACGTGTCCACAACCACTGACTACGAGACCCAACAGTTGTTGGTTTGGCTCATGAAGCGATTCAAACCTAAATGTATGCTAGAGTTGGGCTCTTGGGTGGGATTTAGCGCTCTTTTGATGGCAATCTCTGCCAAAACATATCAGTCCTCACATTATAAATCCAAGATTTATGCGCGCGATTCATACGTGTGGCAAAAATGGATGTATAATTTTGTGATCGCAAAGAATGTGATGGCAAACGGGTACTCATTTTTACCCCGATTTGAGTTTAATGTGGAACCGCTGCGTGAATTCATCGAACCTGGTGTAATGAATTTCGATTGAATACTTCCCGAAAAGGTATCCGCAATAAAACCGGATTTTGTTTTTTATTGATTTTACTCAAAACGCCGAAGAATTGGAGGAAAAGTGGATTCATTTGGTCCCAAATCAAATCCCTGGAAAGACTTTTGTCTTAGTCAATGGATTGGCCGTTACATCGATTACGTTCTTCAGTCGATACAGTAATCAACTGAAAGCTGTGGCAAAACCGCATACAATAGCGAAGGCTTTTATATAAAGTCCCGACGTTTCCATACAAGAACTTCTGACGAATATTCAATTGAAACCAAAATTCAATTTCCAAACGCCTCCCGATTGGGGCCATCACTACAAGAATGCTTTCAACGCTTCCATCGATTTATTGCGACAAGAATTTCATGACAAGAACTTAAGCATTCGGTTCATACCAGCAGTTGAAGAGACTCTTTGCGATAATCCGGAAGTATTGAGAAATAATGAATTGATTGGTGTAATACATATGACACAAGAATATCCACAACTGTTTTACACACTAGACCTGAAACGGTTGTGCAGTAAAAGGTATGCAAAGTATATGAAGAACTGTAAGGCTTTGTTCACATTAACGAGTGTTCAAATAAAATATTTAGATCATAACCTGAAACTTGATTACAAAATACCGATTCAAACATTGATCTATCCCTTTGTTGAGCCACAAGTGATGAAAGACTCAATTGTTTTGGATTTATTGCGGGACAAGAAGTCAGTGGATCTGATTCTGATCGGAGGTTTTGCCAGAGATTTCAATCGCTTTTATTTCGCAAACGTTTCAAAACAATTCAAAAAGTTATTTTAGTCAACGATTTGTCGACAGAAGATCAGTTGAGTTGCGATTATCCGAAAGACATTGAAGTGAAGACACGATTGTCTGACGAGAAATACGAGCACCAGTTGTACCGTTCGGTGCCATTCCTGACCCTCCTATACAACGGCGCCGCAAATACACTGATCCTCTAGTGTATCGCCAGAAATATACCAATACTTGTGCCTAATCTCAGCTCTTGTACTGAATATATCGGTGTAGACTATCCTCTTCTCTATTCCGCAGACGAAAATGATTTCACTAAACTTTTGACTGAAGATTGCATTCAATCGGCGATTAATTATCTGAAAAATACGAATAAATATTGCTTTAGAAGCGATTACTTCTTGGAATCGGTAAAGAATGATCCGATTGAGTTGATCCACTCGTTGGCTATTTTGGAGTCTATAGTGATATCGACCGCTAAGTTCAACGTCTTGGTGGAGGCGGAGGTGACGCTACCGAACCTGATATATCTGGTGTCACAGAATCAACACAATCAGGAGATTCAACAGACCTCCATAGCACTGATCAACGCCTTGTTCTCGAAGTCGGATCTATCGAAACGTAAAGCAATGGCCGCCACTCTGTCCGGCAAACACATCCGTAACGTCATTCTGACCACTGTATTGAACCCGAGGGTCGCTGTGGGCAACGACTCCAGCGGTCAGACCTATAATGTAGGGTCAGAGATGGCCCACCAGTTGTATGTATTGCAGACATTGCTCTTCAATCTACACGAAGAGCGCATGAATTTAGTGGTCAACTCAGGCAACGAACAGGACGTGAAAGAGCGCGTACAGGAGCTCCGGAAGATTGCCTTCGACTCAGACATCGGCGTCGAACGGAACCAGTCGTCCAAATCTTTGGTCTCGTCGTCACTGATCTCGTCGACCAAAGGCGACGCCTTTCAGGACGACTACAAGAGGCTCGGCTTCACGAACGGCAAAGACCCGGTCCAAGACTTTACCGAATCGCCCGGTGTTCTGGCTCTGGATCTACTCGTGTATTTGGCCCGCAATCACACAGACACTTATGTGAAGTTTGTTCTGGAGAACTGTTCCCGCAGTGATCGCGAACACGAGTGTCCACTCGTCAAGTCTACCGTACATTTGGGCCGATTGTTGTGCGAAATACTGAAGGTATCGGAAGCGCCGAGTGATGAGGGAAAGACATTTTACCCGATGTTCTTCACACACGACCACCCGTTGGAAGAGTTCTATTGCACTGCGGTATCGCTGCTGAACAAGACCTGGAAGGAGATGAGGGCCACAGTCGAGGACATTGTCAAAGTGTTTAGTGTTTTGCGCCAACAGTTGATCCGAGCGATGGCCGACTCCGAGGCGACCGTCAGTTTCGACAAATTGCGGCTCAAATTGGCGTCATTTTCGTATTCAGTGATCACTAGTTTGTGGTTTTTCCTCTCTTCATTAGCGCTTTTCACCCTCTTGTTCCGGACGCGATATGATCTCAACGCCCTAAACCAATTTGGGCTCTAGTAACTTGAGTAATTTCTCGTTGCTAACCACAAAGAGTGGCTTCCGACCCGTTTTGACAAGTATTCCAATAAAGGTATGTCTTGTCATTGTCTCCACGTTTGACATGTCTTACCATTAATTGTCTTATTATTATCTCTTGCGGTCCGCACGCTTAGTTTCTGTTCAAGACCATGACGGCCGACAGTTGGTTAGTCTTCAAGAACACAATGCCGCTAACGCTGCTCTTAGCCCACGAAAGCCACCTGCTCAACTGGGTGTTCAAACGACACTAACTGTAGTTTGTTGACCACTAGCCGTTTCTGACAGGCGTGTACTTAGACATGAAGACGTCGAAGAAGTCCACGTTTTCGTTGGCCTTTTCGCTGATACCCGACGCCGAAGAGGAGTCGCCCTTGAATTTTGTGGCCAAAAACGAGAAGGTCTTTGACTATTGGATTGACGCCATTAACGGACTGTTGGGTCAGGAGATGACCAGCAAAGAGACCAACAATGACTTGGAAACACTCCTATCGATGGACATTAAGATACGATTACTCGACACCGAAGGCGTAACGATTCCCGAACGCCCCCCAGAGATACCCCCTTCGCCTCCCAATTATGACTTCAATGCAAAGTATTAATACTTTTGCGCACTTTTTATTGGCCACAAGTATTGCGTCAACTAATCTATGCTTTATTTTATATGCTTTTTAATTGTGTTTTGTTTTAGTTTTATAAATAGTTTTACTCTCAGAGAGTGTGGAAAGCATTCCTTCAAATCAATTAATTGATTGCTTTATTTAAACATTTTGCCAAGAATAAACATAAAATAGTTTTCAATTTAATATATTTTTAATTTTTTTTGCAATTTTGGTGTAAATTATGAACAATAAATGTTATTAACTATTGATTTCTTTTGAATAAAAATAATATTATATCATATATAATTTATATGTATATTTAAAACCAAATTAAATATATTAAACAAACATAAGTTACTTTGATTATTAATTACTGCAATAAATACAATAAAAAAGTAATTTTCTTATGCAAAACTCATGTAACATAAGCGAGAATCTGATCCACGCGTTGATCCGAAAAGCGGTCCAAAACCGTTACATTCATTACACGTATCGTACGATTGGTGTGAATATTGATGTGAAACAGATTGTGATGGACTCCACACAAGACTTGACAAACATTCAGTTTATTGACTTTTAATATGAGATTATTTGTTAATTTGATTACTATTTGTCTTTTGGCTATATATTGAAAATGTGAGCAAAACTTGTGTTACTTTTTTGTTGTCTTTAGTTTTAGTGATAATTAACAGAATATTCTGTTTGTTTTCTCTGTGAATACATCGGATTTTAATACTTTTGCCAACTTTTTATTGGCCACAAGTATTGCATCAACTATTCAACAATCTATCGATTATTTTATGTGTTTTAGTTTTATAAATAGTGTTATTCTCAGAGAGTGTGGAAAGCATTCCTCCATTTAATTCTTTGACCAAAAATTATAAAAAAGTTTATTTTAATATATTTTTAATTTTTCATAAATTTTGTTGTAAATTATGAAATGAAAAATATATGTTATTTATTTTTTATCGATTTAAATATTAGTTTCTTATGAATAAAAATTTAATTTTCTATGTATTTAAAACTCGATTCAATTGATTAAACATAAACACATGGATAATAAGTCACTTTTGGTGCCATTTATTAATACAACGCCGGAATAAATACAAAATATAGTACTTAAGAATAAGTTAAGTATTTATGAATACATTGTTTAAAATTCTTATAAAATTAATCAATGTTTAAAAGTTGTTTATAAAGAAGTTATAAAATCTTAAAATTGTATCAAGATGAAAAGGTTATTGAAATAGAAATTCATTTGAGTTGTAGAAAGTTTGCAGACAATTGGAGAGTGAGTATTGTCTACACCAGACAATCACATTCTGTTTCAACATGGTCATTATCAATAAGACCAATAAAGGCAATCATAACAGTTATTTAAAACAATTTAAATTTAACTAACAATCGATATATAATATATTTAAAAACATGCAACAAAACAATTTTGTGACCAATGTTTGTGACTCGAAATATAACAATAATTGTTACTAGGTGGTTCACGCAAAACCGGTTGAAATAATTAATTTTAAATTATTTTAAATTATGAATAAATACTGACAACGAAATTATTGGTCGTCTTTGGAATTATAGAAATGAATATTCAATTTGTTTTAAATATATCATTAAAATGTGTAATTCAGCGGCGATTGGAGTTTGGCATCAATTCTATTGGTCAGTGTTGTCCTCAAAGGGACGGGTGGGCTGTACGGGCGTCATGTCGTTTACTTGAGCTGCTTCGGGGAGTTCGATGAAGCCGGCAATCGGCCCATCATAGGGGCCATTACGGGGCCAGTTGTCCGAAACGGTTCCATTGTTGTCCGCCAAAGTTGAGCCATTGTTGCCGACCAAATCGGGTCCATTGTTAGCAACCGTTGGGTATTCCCGCCGATGGGTTGCTCTCATTTGTAGCAAATATTGTGCCAAATTGAACGCTGAATTGGCTTTCATTCGGGTAGTTATGTCCCGATGCATAGCGACGAGTGCCGGGTTGTAGGCCGGCTGGTGCTCACCACTCAGCACACATATCAGCTCCGCGTTGGCCTCACACACAGCCCGTAGCGCTCTATTCTCCTCCTCCACGAACTCGAGGCGCGGGTTATCTCTCAATAGTCGTCGAATTGCCCTCTTTTGCAATTTATTCACTTTCCACAGACTTTTGTTGTATTCTTGTTGATCGGTGTCCGCATCGGTGGCAACCATTTGCGAAAATAGATTGCCCATGGTCTAAATTATAATTTAACCATTATTATTATCACAATATGTCTTATAGTAATACAAATAATAATAGTAAAGTTATATAACACTTACGAATTGTTGACTTAAGGCAGATGTGGTGACCAGATTGACTAGAGTTCTGTAATTCAAGCAAAATTATGTATTAAATGTAAGACTTGTATTCTTTTATCAATCATTTCAATATCAAATGGTTTGAGAGAGAGAGAGCCGAACGATCCTATAAACAACATTATTCTATACAGAATTGTGGTTAAATGTATTAATCTGTATTGTTATTCTGTATAACATTTTATTAGTTGATTAAATCAAATAAGATTTATTGCCAATCATTATGTAATAGTACTGAGCACCGAAATTGAACCATTAATTAATGAAGATATAATTTTAGATATAATTAAGTTAATTAAATATTAAATTATAGACAAAAGCCTAATATTTTATTAAATTATTTTAATATTTTTAACGACAATTCATATATCGTTCGGCCCCTCCCGAGGGAGGCTCGAGCTCGACCCCCACGCTCTATGGGATTTAACATGAGATTACAGCTTAACTTTATGGCTATAACTCTATGTTTATAATACATGATTTAAACGATTGGTTTAATTGTAATTAAATTATTTATAAATATAGTTGTATTTCATTTCTTATAGGTGGGAGGGGGAGGTGTTACACATGGGAACGTTATTTTTAAAAATTACTACATGCGAACATATGGGGAGGGGTCTAGATTTCTTAAAATGTGTGAACATGGTGAAAAGTATGTTAATCCAATATGAGATTATTTCTTATGGAAAAGCGAAATATGAAGAGAAAGTATTATTAACCACAATTCAACTATGAATTATGTGGTTTATAGGATCGTTGTGTGAGTCGTACAGTATTTCATTAATATGTGGTTTCTTTTTAAATCAATGGTGAGTGGCGTCAATCACATTCACTCACGGAGTTAACCAAAAAAAAGTCTCATATTTAAAAGGTATATTAAATAGTGTTGTGACACAACTCGTGTTTTACAACATTTATTTTATAAAAATTCAATGAATTAGAGAGAAGCGCAACGATAGTGACCTCAATTTGGAAAACATACATGTATTGAATGTGCAAAAAGTGTGATTGCATTTCCTGTCTTACAAGTGATAAACAGATTCACAGCAAATCAATGCCTAAAGCTATTCATTTTTAATGGCAATTATTTATTTTCTTATAATTCACATAGAACATTAACTATAACAGGTACGATTCCATATTATTTGTGAATTAATTAAAAAATTATCATGCAACATTTTTCTACTTTAAATCATTACTCACTTGTCAGTCAAAAGTTATTCGCGTTATCCCTCAGGGAGAGAGAGAGAGAGAGAGAGATTGTGAATCTGTTTTATTTTTAACGAAAACAAACGCTACAAACAGAATATGTAACGAATTTTTCTTGCTTTTTGATAGAAATTGTTTGGACACAACTTCCAAATGATTTGTTTTTGATTATAAATTATGTTACATAATTTAAAACACAATAAAAATATAATAATTATATGAAATAAAAAATTATAACAATAATCTCTTATTCGGTATATCTTTACTTAATATTTAGTTTTTATTATCTAATTATTTATGAATCCAATATGTGTACCACTGATTGGTTGATTGTCTTATTTTGCTCCGACTCTTAGGGACAACTTAGAGCCCAAATTCATCGGTAAAATCGCACATCAGGTCAACTCATCGAACCAATCGTCGACCGACAAGAAAGAGTTGATCCACTCGTTGGCTATTTTGGAGTCTATAGTAGGGTGACCAGAACGTCCTTTTTTATGGGTTTTGTCCTTTTTCCGACCTCTGAAAACAGAGTAAAGAAGGACGCGCCCTTTTTTTGAATTTTTGTAATTTCAATATAAAAGGTTAATATGTTTTAAAATATGGGAAATATCATTGATTGCAATGCACTGTAGATCTGTAAAGCTGTAAAGTTGAGACATTACAGCACACAAACAGTAAATAATAATAATAGAGTAGAAATATAATTTAAAATGTTGTAATTGTTAACAGAAAACTATTATAAAAATCAAATAATTTTGTTTATTAAAAGTGTTTTCATTTGAATATTCATTTAAAATGTGCGACAAAACAAAGGAAAATGCATAGGGTTAAAAAAATTGGCGTCCTTTTTTTGTCCTTTTTTAATGACTATTTTATACCAGTCGTCCTTTTTTAAGAGGAATTTTGGTGGTCACCCTAGTCTATAGTGATATCGACCGCTAAGTTCAACGTCTTGGTGGAGGCGGAGGTGACGCTACCGAACCTGATATATCTGGTGTCACAGAATCAACACAATCAGGAGATTCAACAGACCTCCATAGCACT